ACTTTAATTTTTAAGTAATTACTTTATTTATATTAAGTATATATACATCATTAGTAGTAAATAAAATTAAGAATATTTACATTCTAGTTCCATTTACATAAATTTATTTGGGTTCTAAAACTATAAAATGAATTTTAATGCCAAATAGAGAACATAGTCAATCCTCAACACTGAAATAAAAAATAATAAGTTTTGATTATTTCAAATTGTAAAATTAATTTCATATAAACCGGAGATTACATCAATATCTATTTATAGAAAAACTTCATTTATAATAAAAATGTAAAAAGAAAAAAATATTTTAAATCTAAAATTAAACCTCAAATTCCTATTAAAATAAATGTTGTATATAAATTATATATTATTTTTTCGATTCAGAATACCAAAGATTAAAAATTTACAAGTAAATTCATAATAATTCCAAGAAATAAAATAACCAATAGACTTTAGCGCTCTAATCTTTTAAATATTTTACACCACAAGGTGTGGAGTTTTAGGATTCCATATATAATTTTAATGTAGCAATAAAATATGTAACGAAATAACATTGATCATGAACGCGAGTACATACAAATTTATTAAGAATTTTATTACATGCCACAGTGTCAACATTTGTCAGACTATAAATTTTAATTTCATATTTCCAAAAACAAAGAAACATATATAAATGTGATATTGTACAAAATGCCTGACGAAATGAGTGCATCAAGGGGCTTTCCTAAATGACATTATGCATCATAATACACGGAGAAAAAAAATGGAAACAAAAATGGTGTCTAAACCAGGTGAAACTATACAACGAAACAAACAGAAAATTAGAAATAGATTAGGCACTTCAAAGACTATTTACAGTTTAGTATCGTACACCGCAAAGCGTTCAGTTGGTTGGGTTCATTCACATTGTAGCAACCACTCTTGTCTAACAAAAAAAAAACTGAAACTGGTTTGCTTCTTTAAAATAATATTTGCTCACCACCACTGCTAAATATAGTAATGTGTTGCAACATGATTCCAGTGGCGGTTTTGTAAACGCAATAAAGTCGAAATGCAGGGCACAATATATAATATAATAAGTAAGACTTATAATATGTCTAATTTTAAATCTTTTTAACAATAAATTAAATGAAATATTTATCAACATTAAAAATACAATAAATACTATACTATATATACAATATATATAAGAAATTATCCTGATGAAGGCAAAAACGAATTTGCCGAAATACGTATAGGAATATATAGAAATTAGTTCATTTTATACAAAAATTAATTAATTACTTAATTTTACTATATTTTGCACTCTACTAGATTCTTGCACTACTAATGAAAATATATAATAAAAATCGAATTAATAATTGTGAAAATTTGTAAATTGAAGGCTTTATAATTTATAAAATTTGTTATATATTGCACAATATTTTCTATATAATATAATTGTGAATTCAAAACTTTTCTTTTAATTTTCTGTTCTATAGAACAATACTTTTATTATAAATAGTGATATATTTTCTATAATATTTTTTTCTACGCTTAATGATTGTAATTCGAAAATCGACAGGCTGCCCTACTTAACACTATCTTTGCTCCAAATAATCTATAGCCGCATAGAGTGGTAGCCAGATCTTAAATCAGAAGCTTTTGAGGAATACATAAATTAGTCAGTGAGTAGAGTGAGACTTTGCACAAACCATTCAACTATCAAATAGTAAAAGTGCGCCAACTCGAAAAACACTTAACATGAACATGAATTACTATAATTACTTGTTAAAAACGATAACATATTTTCTTTAATATTTTTCTCTACACTTAATGATAGGCAAAATTAAAGCTGAATAACTAATAACTTTTTGATAAGAATATTTGCGTATTTCTTTCGATGAAAATAGCGTATATTGCTAAAATTTTTTATTAAAAATTGATAATAATTATTATCACTACAATATAATGATATTTATTTAAGTGTATTAAATTTTTTTTTTTAGTTATAGATTAAAAATTATTCGGTTTGTCAATATTTAAGAAACGTATTAATGATTTAATATGTTAATACATAATAATATTAATAAATATTATATATTAATATAGTATATAAATTGATTTTTCAATTTATGTCTTACTTTCAGATTATTTTTATTTATTATATTTTTTTAAAAATACTATTTTTAATTATTTTTTTGCAAATTCAATTTATCTATATAATAATTTATCATCAAAAATGTTAAATGTAGTATAGTTTAGCATAATTCCGCCACTGTTTTCAACCATTTGTATTACTAACACTTCTACGCGCTTGCACTGACACATCAAACACACCACATCAGGCCAAACATATACACGCGTCAAAAACCATCTCATTGGCTGTCTCGAAATATATACAGTTTGTGCACACATAAACGTATATTTGGGTTTCTGTTCATATTGCTTGTCAACGCCCGTTGACGTAAAGTGTACATCTGGGCACCGCCTTTATAATTGTTATTTGAATTTCATTTTTAATTTGCGTTAGTGTTTTTGTGTGCACATTGTGTCGTATGTTTTCAATTGTATGTTTGTGTGCGTATTTGTCTTTTTTACCCCCATTATCATTTAGCTTTCATAACAATATCTAGTAAAGCTTTCTCTTTCATCCCTTTTTACGCTTATCATTTTTAATTTAATGTAAACCAAAAGCAACAAAACGGAAGAAAGTCAACGGAATACAACAGTAAGTGCGCTTGTCAAATTTCAATGTCAGTCCGTTGTGTCAATCTATATGCGATAAGTGCACACATGTATACAATTCCGTATATAGCACACAGGTAATACACATATATTTACGGGAGTATTTCTGTGGACAAATTTGTATGTATATTCAAATATATTTTTCATATGCACTATTTATTTTTTAGCTTAGACTATATGCTTTATTTTTTTTTTTGATATTTAAATTGGCAGACATATTTGCATTGCATAAATTATAAATTTTCATTGTATTACAGAAAAAAAAATATTAACTATTTTTATTTGATACATAGCAGTAGTTCAAAGAACTTATCATATGCATAGATACATAAACACGTAAGTGTACATGCAAAAGTGTATCTTTTAAGTGTTTTAAAATCATTCAAGAGCTTTGAGGTTATTGATTTTTTTAGCTTCTAATATTATCGATGCGAATTTGAAAATATTATATGGGTCACAATTATGTCAATTCATGTGTATATTTTTTTATTGAATAATTTTCGATTGATGTGTTTAAATATTTTAAATTATAAATCAGATTAAAGTCTTAAATGATTTTTATTTACTTTACGATTTATTTTACTAAAGAAATAATTATAGTGCTCAGATTTTTTACAAAAATTAAAAAAGAAAAAATATAAAATTATAATTTAAAATTTTTTATATTTATGTCAAAATTTTCTTAAAATTAAAATTAATTATTTGAAATAAATTCATTATTATTTTTTTATTAATAAATAAACTAAATGAATTTCATATACTTACATAATAATAAAATAATAAATACTTACATAATAATAAAATAATAAATAATATTAATAAATAATAATAATAAAATGACAGCAGTGGGGAATTATGAACGCAGTAGAAGTGGAATTAAAAGTATTAGGATCTCAAATTTTTTTAAAAACAGGAAAATTGAAAATTAATTGTGATTCCATGGATTTCCTTCAAGAAAAAATATAGGATTAGTATATTGTAGAAGAAAATGACTCACACTAGAACAATCCACTTTTCCAGTGTCTCATTAAGTCTTTCGAATGAAGACCAGAAGGTTCTTCATTAAAAAGCTCTTCCGTCAATATATCCCTTCTAACCTACAAACGAAAGAGTTACAAAGCATGTAAATAGAAGTCTCAACTTCAGTAGGTGTAACATCACTTCAGTAGGTGTAATAACCCGATACGGACCACAAACGCAACAAAAATTAAATTACCGACTATAATAATATTATTTTGATGTTTTTAAAAAAAATTGCTCAATGAATTTATTAAATAAATTTTAATATTTATATACAATATATATAATAGTTCGTTGGAACTATTAAACTTCAAGAACAATCTTAAGTGAGAAGATATAGAAATAAACATTATTATTATATATTTAGTAAATCACACTTTTTTTTTTGACTTTATGTCTGCTGAGGTGGAGTCTAAAATAAACAGAACTTTTTAAAAACTATTATTTATAGGGGGCCATTACCAACATTAGCGGTTAGGTATGATATATCCTTTATTCACATACTGTTCAAATTTCATGACATTTATTCAAAACGATACGAAATTATTGTGCTGAAAGTGAAAGTCTATAAAATCGATAGAAAAATGGTAATTAGACAATATTAGACATAGAGTGTTTTGTATTAAACATAGGAAATATATGGTAATGATCATTAATGCCATGGTGAAGTTAATGAAGCGTGCAGGCACAAGTTTATCCTCATAATCGTCTGGATAAAAATATTAAGTAACTTATGGGCTAACCGAAATTCCTGATTACCACTGATTTAATCAAAACATTATATATTTAAAAGAAAATTAAAGCATTTCAAAGACTTCTTGCGACAAATAAAATTTCTTGCTTCAGATGCAATTTCCCCACTTTTATTTAAACAATATCTTGAATTAAGCAGTATATTACTATAGGATTTAACTTACCTATTAATAATATATGGCTTCATTGTAAATATCTATTTTTATTTCAATCCTATTTATCTACTTTGACTCAAGGCATATAATATTGTTTATTATAAATTGACTCCCCATCTCATATAACTATCTTTTTTTTTTATTAAACCACGGTATTGCCTCACCCGTGGGTACTATTTTTCAAGGACATACTTTGCATTTAATATTATACAACATGGGGGATGACAAATTCTATATTATATAAA